TCTCTCTCTCTCTCTCTCTCTCTCTTCCCTCTCTCTTTAAAAAAATAATGAATTTACCATCTTAACCATTTTTAAGTGCAGAGTTCAGAAGCATTAAGTATATTTCCATTGTTATGCAATGCAGTGCCAAGACAGTTTCATCTTGCAAAATTGAAATATACCAATTAAACAAATCCTCATTTCCATTAAACAAGTCCTCATTTCCCCCCCTGCCCCAGTTCCTGGAAGCCATCATTCTACTTTCTGTTTCTATAAATTTGACTACTTTAAATACCTCATATATATCAAATCATAGTGTTTGTCTCCTTGTGACTGGCATATTTTATTTAGCATAATGCCCTTGTTATGGTTTGTGTATGAGATGTCCCCTAAAAGCTCATGTGTGAGACAATGTTAGAATGTTTAGAGGTGATATGATCAGGTTATGAGAGTTGTAGCCGAATGAGTGGATTAATCCACTGATAGAGATTAACTGGGTTGTAACTGTAGGTAGGTAGGGGGTGACTGTATGAAGTAGGTCACTGAGGGCATGATTTAGGGGTTTATATTTTATCCCCGGTGAATGGGGCTTTCTCTGCTTCCTGGTTAACATGTCCTGAGCTGCTTTCCTCTGCCACACTATACTGCCCTGATGTTCTGCTTCACTTGGGCCCACAGCTATGGATTGTTAGACCATGAACCTCTGAAACCAGGAGCCAAAATAAACTTTTGCTTCTTTAAGTTGTTGTCTGGTTTTCTGGTCATAATAATGCGAAAGCTAACTAAAATAGCCCTCAAGGTTCATTTATTTTGTAGCATGTGGCAGAATTTTTTTTCTTTTTAAGTCTGAATAATGTTCCATTGTAGGTAGATACATTTTTGTTTATTCATGCATCTGTTAATGGCTGTTTCTTTCTCTTGGATATTGTGAAAAATGTTACAGTGATAATGGGTATGTAAAATCTCTTTAAGATCCTTACTTTTGATTATTTGGGATATATATATATATATATATATATATATATATGCAGAAGGGAGATGCTCAATCATATAGAAACTCTATTTTTAATGTTCTGAAGAATCCAAAGTCCTGTTTTTTTCATTTTCATTTTTATCAATTATGCATGCACATAATTTAAAGATTCAAGTAGTTATTTAAGTTTGGCCAAGAAAAACAGTTGTCCTTCACTCTCTTTATTCTATTTCTTCTTCCTCAGGGACAACTATTTTTCAATTCTCTTAGGTGATTCTCTTGGTATTTACTTTCATATTTTAAAATAAGATTTTATTTTTCCATTTCATTATTTTTCACTTTTAGGCATAACGTATTCCACTATGAAAAATGAGAACTTAGCCATCTTTTTATGTTCTCACAACATATATATTCACAGAAGATCTTGCTATGGAGCTCCAGTAGTTATACCATAAATTTAGCTATGTTTACATGCTGTTTAAATTGTTTAACTTATGTATCTGTCATGATATTAGTATAAAAAAAACCAGAACACTCAAACTGATCATTTGGAGAAAAAATTAATAAAGTGATTATTTACAAAAATGTGAGAATGCTATGGGGAAATCTTTGCAGCCAGTGTTCTGCCCCAAGGGTAGCAAAAGAGGGGAGCCATATAACACCTAGGTTTAAATGGATAAGGGAAGAGGTTGGCATAGGAATGGACAAAGAGAGGGATGTGCACAGGACAATCTGATAGGTCTGTGTTGTTCAGTTAATACTACAGAAAGAAAATTTAGGAAATAAATATCCTTATCTCAGTTTCTTTTCTCATTCTGATTTCCTGTGTGTACTCTTCATTGATTGAACCCATCTGAAACCAGAGTGCAACATTGTTTTATTGTTGTTATTGTTATTTATTTGTTTGGTACTGGGGATTGAACCTGGGGGCTTTTAACCCCTGAGCCATATCCCCAACCCTTTTTATTTTTTTATTTTAACACAAGGTCTTACCAAGTTGCACAGGACCTGCTAACTTGCTGAGGCTAGTCTCAAACTTGCAATCTTCATGCCTCAGCCTCCTGAGTTGCTGGGATTGCAGGCATGCACCACCACGCCCAATGACCTGTTGCTTTTTAATTCCAATGAGACTCTTGGCACACAGAGCAGGGTAGAAAGGAAGGAGAATAAATTTGAAGATGTACACAGATACCCAGCACACAAAGTGAATGCTGGTTAGCTACACAGAACACCACAATTAATTTTTCTTTCATGTATAGCTTTTTTTAAGTTAGTAATTATTTTTCTTTTGCCAGTTCCTTCATTTTTCCTTGTCTAATTTTATCTCTCAATTGACTAACCTTTTACGACTTTCAGATGTGTGTGGTATTCTATAAATTGTGCCTTCTTGCAGAAATCTCTCCCAGTGTTTTCTGATCTGCTCCAATCTGAACTGCCTTTCTATCCGTAATCCTGGGATCACACCTCATTATCATTCTAAGGGACCCCTTCTTCTCTATTCTGTGTGGGATCCCAATTCCTTATTTTCTGATGTCACGTTGACTTATTCCTTTATGCCCTTATCTGGGGAGAAGTGTATTTCTGAGTGGTTCTCTGAAAAAAATGATTGGGAGATGAATATTTTGATACTTTGTATACCAGAAAATGTCTTTTTAATATCATCATGCTTCACTGATGGTTTCCGTAGATGTAGAAGTTGTTCTTTGTGCATATAAAAACATTACATTGTTCTATTTTATTCTAGCTTCCACTGTTTCACTGAGAATTGACAAACCAGTCCGATTCTTGGTTCTATGTACATTCTATGTATATATGTCCTCTCATTGGACCCTTGGAAGCACCTAGGAATTCCCCATCTGAAATTTTGGACACTTGGTGGGATCCTTTTAACATGAAAATTCTGCCTCTTGTAGAAACTTTTTGAAATTCTCAATTTCAAAATTCATTCAATCTCAATTTCCTTGATGAAATTCAATTTTGTTGATGATTTTTTTCTTTCTTTGCTCCTTTTTTTCTTTTTCAGAACCTCCTAGATTGTTACCTCTAATTTTATTATCTTTTCTCGCTTATTTTCTATCTCTATCACTTTTCTCAATCTCTTATGAAGTTTTCCTACTTTAGTCTTCTAATCCATCAATGATTTCCTTTTATTTCTGCTCTTATTTTAATATTCAAGGGCTCTTTGTTTTCTTAAAATTAAGACAAGTTGCTTTTCTATTTATCAGATTCCCTCATATTAGAGGCATGCCTGGGCTGTCTAATGATCTCTTGACCACTGACAAAGTTGAGGACTAAATGACACCCTTGAGCCTGTAGGTAGTTGAAAACTGTGTTTCATGATTGTGTGATCTGTCATTTCATTTGAGAACCCTTCATAATAGGTTCGTTAGGTCTTTCTCCTCTCAGACTGGTCAGAATACCCACAGACAGTTCTTCAAGTCTTCTGTCTGCAGGGAAGCAGTGTGATTTCTAAGGTTGGTGGTGGGGAAATGGAAAAGGGTTTCAGGGTCAGCATACATCTGTTTCTTATTTTCCCTCTTTTCAATATGGGTCCACTATCCTTGTTAATGCATAGCGTCACTCATTCTAGAGACTGTTTTACCATTTGCAGAAAAAGAATCTTCATCTTCTGCCAAGGAAGGGAAGAGATAATCATTCAATTTCATTGAAATGGTGAAAAAATCTGGGGCTCAAATTAGATGACACCAAACATGGTATTTTTATAGTTCATGGTTTCAGGGATTCACTGGGCTGTTGGTCATTCAGTTTGGATTGGAATAGCTGGGGTCCCAAGGGGAGTTCCCCCCACTCTCTCTCATCTTTCATTATGGTCTTCTTACATGGTGGCCACAGAGAAGATGGACTTCTCCAAAGTGAGTGAAGGTTTCCAGAGTGAGTGTCCCAAGAATACCAGCATAGACTGCACGACTGTTTCTAGTCTAATCTTTAAAGTCAGGCAGCATGATTTCCATGGTTCTGTTCTTTTCAGCATCCTATTCATTGAGGTCGCTGTAAAGACCCACTTATCACTAAGGGTGAGGCTTATTGGAAGAGCCCTTGCCTAACGAGAACAAGGTCCTGGGTTGTAGCCCCAACATCCCACACATAATAAAACAACCATAAAGATCCACCTGGTTTTGAGAGGCAGGAACCTAGACTCTACATCTTGATGGGAAGCATGTCAAGGAATCTGCTGATTTGTTTAAATCTCAGCACAGACACTCAATTAGTGCTTCTTATCTTAGACTCTTTTCCCCTGTCACTCTGCTACTCCACTGTGTGGGAGATTCGTACCACCATGAATTCTTATTTTTATTATTTATTTTTAAATTTTTTAAAAATTAATTAGTTATACATAATAGAAGGATGCATCCTGACACATCATACATAAATGGAGCATAACTTCACATTCTCCTGGTTGTACATGATGAAAAATCACACTGGCCATGTAATCATATATGTACACAGGGTAATAATGTCTGATTCATTCTACTATCCTTTCTACTCCCATATTCCCTCCCTTCCCTTCACTCCCCTCTGCCTAATCCAAAGTATCTCTATTTTCCCTAGCTCCCTATTGTGAATTAGCATCTGCATATCAGAGAAAACATTCAGTCTTTGGTTTTTTGGGATTGGCTTATTTTGCATAGCATATTCTCCAGCTACCTCCATTTACCTGCAAATACCATAATTTTATTCTTCTTTAAGAGTGAGTAATATTCCATTGTGTATATAGACCATATTTTCTTTATCCAAACTAGGTGTTGAAGGCACCTACTTTGGTTCCATAATTTGCCTATTGTGAGTTAAGCTGCTATAAACATTGATGTGGCTGCATCACTGTAGTATGCTGATTTTAAGTCCTTTAGGTATAAACTGAGGAGTGGGACAGATGGGTCAAATGGTGGTTCCATTCCAAGTTTTCTGAGGAATACCCATATTGTTTTTTATAGAATGGTTATACCAAGTTGCAGTCCAATCAGTTATGTATGAGTGAATCTTTATCCACACATCCTTGTCAACATTTATTTTTGCTTGTATTCTTGATAATTGCCATTCTGAGTAGAGTGAAATGAAATCTCAGTGTAGTTTTAATTTGCATTTCTCTAATTGCTGGGGAAGTTGAACACTTTTTCATATATTTTTTGACCATTCGTATTTCTTCTTCTGTGAGTCTCCATTTGGTTCCTTTTCCCATTTATTGATTGGGTTATTTGTTGGGTTTTTTTTTTGTTGTTATTTTTTTTAGTTCTTTATATATTCTGGAGATTAATGCTCTGTCTGATATGCAGGTGGCAAAGATTTTCTTCCCTTCTGTAGGCTCTCTGTTTATGTTCTTGATTGTTTCCTTTGTTTTTAGTTTGATACCATACATTTATTGATTCTTGATTTTATTTCATGTGCTTTCAGAGTCTTGTTAAGGAAGTCAGTTCCTAAGCCTATATGATGGAGATTTGGGTCTACTATTTCTTCTAGTAGGTGCAGGGTCTCTCCACCATTAATTCTTGAGCCTTTGTTCCATGATTTTGTTGCTTATTTTTCCTCCTCCTCCTCCTCTTCCTCCTCCTCCTCCTCTTTCTTCTTCTGTTCTCCTTTTATTTAGACTTGAAACTTTCATATATACATATATTCCTATCATTTTCACAGGGTTTCTAGATACAGTAAATTAGATTATCCTCATGCAAAAGTTCTAGAATCGCCCTAATTTTTCCACTATGAGCTCTCTTACACTTTCTCAAATGCTTATTGCAACTCTGATAAATTTAACTCCTAATATGGTTATATAGCTGTCTGGAAATGATGCTGTATTATTTCTACCATAGGCACCATTGTTGGTCTCAAGCATCTCTGAGATTCAGAATCGAGTACTAGAAGAGGTTCACAATCTGAATTTTGTAAAGGACAATAGTGCCACCTTTATTGAGAGGAAACTCAGTTTTGAAAAGAAGAAGCCTGTGCCGGTTCTGGTGAGTATAGGAGCATCCATGACTGTTAAAATATTACTACTTCACTTTGTCTGAATCATAGTATCATATTATTTTTCTTATCACTAATTTCATTCTAATCTTATAATTTGTTCTTTATGTTTAAATTTCCTCTCTATTTCTACCCTGTATACTAAATATATTCTATAGCCTTTGTTCTATGAGTTTGTTAATCCATAAAATCATGGATTTGGGTTTCTGTTTTGTACATAGCATATCCTTAAAATGCCTAAAATGGTGCTTGACACAAGACAGGCACTCTAAATATTTGTTTACAAGTATTTTAGAGGTAAATCATGTAATCAACCTTTGCATTTTCAAGCTAAGGCACCCTGGGTTCCAGAGATAAAGTGGTTTTCTCAAAGTCACTTAATGGGCGGGAGCTTGGAAGGGGTCTATGGCTTCTTACTCCTGCTGAATTCACTGCTATTTTCTAGAAAAAGACAAGCAAGTGTGCAATTTATTGAATGAAATATTATTTATCAAGTGCTTAATATAGCAAGAGTTAAAATGTTGCTCAGAAAATACCAAAGGGTTAAAATGTTGTTCAAGAGGGATTAGAACCTCTGCCTCCTGATTTTTCACATGAATTTTCTTTCTTTTCTACAACACTGCCCTCTTGTGCTTACTAGAGAATTTTTCACTGCATGACTTACTGGAGCACTCGACAATAAGAGCCTAATCTAAGACTTCACCTTGAAATAAGCCCCAATCAGTATATGTTTTTAAAGAATCTTTGGAGAAAAATGTTACGAATTTACTGAGGATTTCATTATACATCCACATAAAACAAATATTCTCCTTGCTTTTCCCAGCCAGAAGTGCCACGTCAAACTGACATTCATCGCTCCAAACTTCTGTCCACATACAGTGCAGAGGAACTCTACCAAGCTAAGCGCAAGTGCAATGCCACACAAGAATATGACATCAACCTTTTGGAAGGAGAGTTGGTGGCTGTGATGGAACAGAAAGATCCACTGGGGAGTACTAGCAGGTGGCTCGTTGACACGGGAAGTAAGTTTTTCTCCAGAATTACCACCCCTCTTCAGGTTGAGATTTTTTTCCCAATGGTCTTTGTGTGCTTCTCTAAACCCAGGCATTTGGGAACAGTATGCACTTGACATTGGTTCTTCTTTCTTTTTATTTCCTACCTAGTTGTAAAAGGATATGTGTATTCCTCCTTCCTAAAACCGTACAATCCAGCAAAAGTGCAGAAGGCTGATGCTGAGAACAGGTTCTGTGACGATGATTTTGACAACATCAGCCTCTTTGTGTCTTCTCGGCCAGCTAGTGACAGTGTCACAGGGACCCCAGAAGGCAGCATAAGTGATAGCAGCTCATCTCTAAGTGGCACCTGTGGAAAGTTTGAAACAAACGGCACTGATGTTGACAGCTTTCAAGAGGTAGATGAGCAGGTAAGAATTTGAACCTCAATGAAAAAAA